GGTCCGGTACGGGCGCGACACTGAGGGTTGCGATCTGTTGCCAGACACGAAAAAAGACAAAAAAAAAAAAAGATGACCAGTAAGGGAATCTTAACCATTGACTTGGTGTTGTCAGCACCACGCTCTCCCAATTGAGCTAACCGGCCATCTCTATATAGGGATCCGAACCCATGGCCTTGGTGTTATCAGCACCACACTCTCCCAAGTGAGCCACGGGCTGGCCCAGTCTTTTCCATAGTCTTAACCAAGTCGACCTGTGGCTCCTGCAGAGATGCAGAGACTGTGGTTGTCTGGAAGCAACTCAGAGCTCTCTAGTTCTCACGAAGGGGGCAAACTGCCTTCCAGATCCTTTATTTTTTTATTTTTTATTTTTATTTATTTATTTTTTTTTCTTTTTGTCTTTTTTCGTGTCCGGCAAAGGATCGCAACCCTCAGTGTTGCGCCCATACCGGACCGGGACCGGCAACGGGATCGCAACCCTTGGTGTTGCGCCTACCCCTCGCTCAGCCAGTGAGCGGGAACCAGTCTGTATGTGGGATCCGAACCCTCGGCGGGAGCGCCGCCGCGCTCCCAAGCGGCGCACTGTAGCAGTGCGCCACCGGGCCAGCCCCTTCCAGATCCTTTAGGCAATCCTTTAGGTGCCCTGGGAGCTTCACCTTCACTGGTTAGTACCAGGAAATGGCTGGCTAATGGCACTGGTGGTCTGGATTAGCCCTAACTAGAAAGGGTTTGGAGCTTGGCTGCTGGAAAATGAAAAAGGAATTGGTAAGCCTGCTTTGCCTGGTTCCCATGGATCAGCAATACCCACTGGTCCAGTGGGAACTCCTCCAGCCCCAGTTTTGAGGAAACTCAAAAAGAAAAAAATCAGGGTTGGGGGCGGGGGGTGCGGGAAAAAAGACATTCCTAGGAAGCATTTGGCACATCTACAAACAGCATATTAAATTGGCAAAATGCTTTACAATTATTTTCTAGACAACTCCACATACATCTCAGCAGGAGAAGTTCAGCACAGACAAGTACAAGTTGTTGTGCACTGGACAGAATTAGTTCAATTACTCATGCACATTCAAAGGTGCTTAATTAATTATAACAGCATGAGAACAAAAGACCAGGAAAGGTCTGCACTCTGTGGTCAATAACCAATTCACCAAGTGGACAGATATGCAGGAAAGCCAAACTCAACAAGGGAAGAGTCTATTAAATACGAGAACATTCTAAGATGAAAAATATTCTATATAACAAAGATGACACTAAGTATATTTACATATATGAATAAGGATGACACTAAATGTTTTGTGTTTGTCCAGTATACTAAGTTTAAGCTTGAATACTCATGTGGGCAGAAGTAGGGGCACTCTCCTCATTTTACATTTGCTGGAAACTGAGACAGCATAATGTTAAGTAATTTGCCTAATTGTACAAGATCAGCATCAGACTGTGCTGTCAGAGTGTCCTGGGCCTGTGCTTTGCTGATGAAATCTACCCACTTGCCATGATTAGTCCCTGCACACATCTGTAAGATGCCTGGCTGGGTAAGAAATAGGGCAGTTAAGTGGCCCTTAGGGCGACAAAATCAATTTACTTTACTGGGTATGAAGGGTTTAGCAAAATTGTGCTGACTGATTAGCTCACTTGGAAGAGTGTGATGCTGGTAACACCAAGGTCATGGGTTCAGATCTCCATACTGGCCAGCCGCCAAAAAAATTTTAAAAATTAAAAAAAATAAAGTTTAGCAAAATGCTTAAAACATACCAGCTGCTCAATAAATAATCATTTTCACCCCTATTCTTGGGTCTGAAAAAAAATCACAGCTGGATTTGATCAGTGGTTTAAAAATCTGTTTTTGACAGTAGGATGCCAATTGTGTAGTGCAAGAGATGAAAAGGGGAGAGGCCTCTGATTGTGGCAGGCCTGTTGCCCTCCTGCTCAGCCTTTCTCTCACCCTTGTCTGAGGATTTAAAATCATGAGATTAAATATATTCCAAGGCCTCTAGCTTTTCATTTTACAAACCTGTTTTAGGACCATTCAACTGCTACCTACGTAAACTGGAATTTTTATTTCTGTATCAGTACAGGCCATTTCAGCAACAGAAAGGGCTTTCTGTAGGACACTTGTAATTAGTGGCAGCTAAGGAGAGTTTCACACGAACAGAAGGAACAATATTACAAATAAGAAAGATGAAAAGCCAACCCATAAACGCAGATTTTCCAAACCAAAGTGGGAACTACTTTTGACTTGCTGTAGGCCCTTGGGTGAGTGAAACCCATTCATTTTTGAAGAAGTCCAATTGGAAGACAGTGGATGTGCAGATGGTGAGGGCGTGCATGTGGATGACTTGAGATTCTTGCTGCTAAAGAACATAGAGTCCACCATGCTAATCACACACTGGTCCCAGCTCTTTCCCCCATCCCAGCTTCCCAATTCTTGATTTGAAATAAGGACTCTTCATTTGTGAATTCATGCTAGCTGGAAAGTTTCTCATAGGCAGGTGCTACTTTTCTATTTTTCTGTACTTCTTTTTCTTCTCCTTTCCATACGCTATCTCAGCAACACTCAGGAGAGTGCATGATGGGGTAATAAATGTGGGTCAAACACTGACTTTCAGATGCAATAGATATGCAAGAAGTTATCACTGAGCAACAGGTAAAGCAGGTGGGAGGGCTCTAATGTCAATTCTAACAAGGATTTACTACAGGACTTTGGATAAATGACTCATTTTTTTCTAAGCCGCAGCTTTACTATGTATGTGAAAGCACCCAGTCCCCTGTAAAAAGGCACACAAATGTTCACTTCTATTATCATCATCAACTTTGAAAAATGAGCAAATTCCTTTCCATTTTGAAAACTGATGTAAAGCTTTAGCCAGCACCATTTTCTATTCAACATTTACTGAGGTCCTACTATAAGAAAAGTTACCAGCTGAAGGTACAAAAAATATGGATGGAGAAAAGCTGTTAATTTTCCAAGAGGTTCACCACTCAAATGGCAGCTTAGCTGATGGTGTCAGTAACAAGTGATCTTAGTCTAAAGTGCTGTTTTCTTATCCCACAACCCAAGGCTTTCAAACAGCCTACCTATGAGCCCAGTGGGGCCTTCTGTGGCCTGGTCTTTGGGCAGGAACTCACCTGGTGCTCAAGTATAACTGGCCAGCCACACAGCACAAATGAAACTGTTGCAATCCACTGCACTCTCTGGCATGCTCAAAGCATCCCCCTAGTCTCTGGCCCAGATGTTCCTAGGCCAGCCCAGCAAAGCATCTCGGTAGCAGATGCTACCAGTCTATTTTGGGGGAGGGTTTTGTTTTGTTTCTTGTCAAGTGTGAGCTTGGGTATTCAGCTGAGGCCTGGTGGCAGTTCCCAAATAAGGACAAATACGGCCATGCAGCAATTTTCTTTAGGAAGAAAAATAGAGACTAATTAGGCTCACAAAGGGGTCAGCTTGTGGCTTTTCTGGCAACTGGCAGAAGCAGGATATAAGTCTTGCTGTGTTCAGTGGGCAGCTTCTTGGTTTCTGCTCCGTGCCAGCCAACTAGACCCTTCAGCCTGGGAAAGCAGCAGCAGAGAGCATCATGAGATGAGTACAGGCTCCCTCTGAATTCTTCTAGCAGATTTCACAAATGCTAGGAGGCCAGAATGACACTCCCGGTGTTCCAGCCATGTTAACAGCCTAGAAAGAACTCTGTGAAATGGCTCCAGGGGCCAGTGGCTCAGAACACATTGGAGGGATGACCTGTGGGTTGTGATGCATTTCCTTTAGGCAGGGCCAGACTGGCCAAGGTAGTGATGCCCCAGGAATTATAACAGGGCCCACAGTGAGACCTCAGTGTCACCCACTCTTTACTGACCCCAGTGGTGGTGCTGGCCTCCCAGCCTTTTCTTTCTGGCTAAGTGTTCCTTTTACTTGGCCCTCATCCTGCAGAACTGCTTCTCTGTCCCAGTACCTGTAGGTCTTTGTCATGACCCTGCCTCTCCAGGATCAGCACCCGGTCCTGCAGCTCCTCCACGGTCCCTTGGAGCAGGTCATTTTCCTCTAAGGTGGTGCTGAGACGATGCTCCAGCTCCCGTTTCCGATCTGACAGCATCTTGATCTGAAAGGGTGGAGAGCCACAGGGGTGGTGTGAAGTTATACCCAGGTTGACAAGTAGGAAGGAGGGACTGGCCCCCAAACACGAAGGCACGTGTCTTTAAGTGTTCTGCCAGGGGACTTGGTGCCCCCATCTCTGAGAGAACAGCTGTGACGTTCTAAGCTAATGAGAAAACCTCTCCCATCTAGAAACCTGTCTGGGAAGGGGTAGGAGTTGAGCTTTGGGGAAGCTGGAATGTGGGATGCCAGGCAGAGGAAGGGGGAAGGTTAGCTTTAGAAATTCCAGAGATAAGACAGAGAAGGGCCCCACCTTGCCTGCCCTCAACTTTACCCCAACCCCACAACTTGTGGGGGGAGTGGAACCTAACTTGCTGTACTACTCATCATTCTAAAGTCATGAGCACAAGAAAATGCCCAAGAAATCCTCTGGAGCTGCTGTGTTTTCATACTCTAGGGCTCCTCTCTGTCCTTTCTCCGACTGATGATCCCTCTGGCACTAGAGTCACAGCTCAGACCTGGTGCCCTGAGTTAACAGAGGAGCTTGCAGGGTACAGAAAGCAAAGCAATGCCTACATCAGCCCATGTCCTGGGAAGGAGCAGGACAGGGACACAGTGAATAATTGACTTTACTAAGAGTAAATTTTATCTGAGCAAGTAATTCATAAATAGAAGCAAATTCTCTCCTTTTATAAAACAGGCTGATATGTTTGTACAGAGTTCCCAGTCAGTCCCAAGACACATAAAATCTCCTTTTAGGAAGGTCTGCTACTGTCTTCAGTGTCAGTGATACAACAGAGGAAAAAAGGAAAGAGATTCCAAGTCTTCTATGGCCTCAAAGTTTTCAGGGTAAGAAACTGAGCCAGTGCCCCCCAAGGCCAGTGATACTTCACCCAAAGAATACCACCCTGCTCAGAGGCTCCAGAAAGCTTTCCCAGGTCTTCTCAATTGGCACTTGATTTCAGGGAACTTTTGGAGTTTTGGGGGTACCCCAGATGCAAGACTGCAAGTTCCCTGCTGGACTGATTTCTCAACCACATCTTGCTTCTAAATATTCTCCTGGCATCATTAAGATGTCTCCAGGCTCTACAAGTCTAGCTCAGATAATGATTCCTTAAGGCTCTTAATTAGGTAAGTTTAGGGGATCAGTCTCAGAACTTTTCCAGGGGAGTTTTTTTTTTTTTGATGGTTAATAAAACATTTTTATTAACTAAATGACTACCATTGGAAGTTATGCTCCTTTTAATCAGATGAGGTTCAATGTTATTGCTAAGTGGAGAAAACAATTCTGATATTCCTCTGAAACAAAGTAATAGAAGTAGACCACAAACCACAGTTGGAAAATTCACTTAAAGTATTATGAACTGAAAGAATCTTGTTGTTTCAATTACCATTAAACAATTAAAACTGCAGAGTACTTCAATGATTTCCTATAAATTAAGATTAAAGAAGACATTCATTTCAAAGTGCTGTATTGAAATTACATTGACAATTAGTATTTGATGCTTATTTAAAATTCTCTTCTGTGTAACTATTTTTCATTATATAAATTTATTTGTCCCTAAGACTTTTTGGAATATTAATCCCATCAGCAATGCTGATTTTTTTTTTTTAGTTTATTTTTTAAATTTATAATTATACAATGTAGTTGATTTTTGTGGCCTTTTACCAATTCCTCTTCCAGGGGAGATTTTGAAATCAATGAAACTTATTCCAGGTCCGCTGAGATCTACCTCTTCCCTCTGCTTTTTGGCTGTTCTCACTCTGTACTAGAATTCTGTTCATAGGGCACAGATCTTCCCTGGCCACCAATCAATCAGATAGGATGTCGTCCTGGGGAAACAAAGTATGTGGCATTTGTCCAGTGCGATCGGGTATCTGGCCAAAGAAATACTGTCTCTCAAGTGTGCACCTGGGTAAGGGACCAAAAGGAGCAAGTCCCTTTTGTAAATGGGCCTACTATTCCCTATACTGAAGCAAAGTTACCTGCATGAAGAGAATTCTTACTCTAGTTGATTTTCATTTAAATACCCTCTGACCTTTAAATTTTCCTTCCCATGGATCTTCTTTGTCTCCCCAGTTTCACTCGGTGAAGTAATGAGGTAATACGATTCTGATATACAACTGACCATTAAAAAAAACTTAGTTCAGAGCTATGTGAGGTAACTTATTTGAAATGAACAATTTCTTTCTTTTTTTTTTTCCTTTTTGTCTTTTTTC